CTCTCTCTCTCTCTCTCTCTCTCTCTCTCTCTCTCTCTCTCTCTCTCTCTCTCTCTCTCTCTCTCTCTCTCTCTCACTCCCTCAGCCTCCAGGTATGGCTGGTTGGTGCTGCCCTCACTCTGGATGGCTGTTCGTGCAGAGTGATGGCCACCAGCAACGGCCAGAATGAATGCCGGCCTTCACCCCGCCCTCTCATCATATGCTGGAGTCTGGGGTAGGGCCTGTGTCGGCTCCAGTCCGGGTTCTTTTGAGAGGCCCCAGGCCCTACCAGATACACAAAAATAGGTGCAAACTCCATAAACCAATAACACATTGTTTTGTGAGGAGAACAGTTCCAATGGTAGTGGTTAGTTCCAACGGGAAGGATCCAGGGTCGCCTAGTACCTCGGTCAGAGCCTGCCAGTAGGCCACTTAAAGGCCGGGTCTATCCAGCCTTTCCATGTTGGCCATCTTGGCCCCACAGTAGATCAAAGATTAGAAACAAATCATTAAAGACAAACGAAAAACAAAAGAAACATGAAGGCAAATGATGATGGACATGCACATCATTTAAAAGTTCGAACTTCAAATTTTAAACCCCTTCCAACCTCATTTACACCCCCCCTCCTACCCACCCTCCTGATCCATCACGACATTTATACGGCTCTAGACGAGTGCGGATGTGACCAGCATTCCGCTCTAAGAATTGCCAGGCCGTTCGATTGCCACCTGTGTGGCCCAGGGATGCCTAGTCGAGTAACCAGTGAAAACATTGTTTATTTTTGTTAAATTTGTTTTTTTTTCCCCTGCCATTGTTTATTTTTGTTTTCTTTTTATTTTCCCTGCGATTGTCGGGGGTGGGCGGGTACATATGTACCTCATCCGCCTGAAACCAGCGCAATCAGTCAAGTGCCACATGCACACATATTGCACGAGTTTTTTTTTTGTTTTTTCTTTTTTTTCCGAGGGGTTTTTGAACCGTTTTCTTTTTCTTTTTCTAAGTGGTCCTCACCACAATTCTGGCAGAATATTTAATTTTTATTGAATTTATTCTCTTCCAGTCTATTGGTCAACTTGAGCTCTGATGCAGCCAGTGAGAGTGCTTGATGCGCAGAACACCCTACCATCTTACCGTAGCAGCCAGTGACGGATTGATTTGGATGCAAAGACAGATTGACTCTAAATCATACTTGCGGCGCACTTAACTGGTGCGCCGTGCGCCATGCGCTCACGGGTGATGTGTGTGCACGTGTGCACCGCGCGCACTGAGTGCGCACTGGCAGTGCGCTGTGGTGTGGCCGAGTGACCCCCATGCCCGCGCACCTGCGGATGCCTTACTTTTTTTTTTTTGTGTGTGTGTGTGTGTGTGTGTGTGCGTGTGTGTGCGTGTGTGTGTGTGTGTGTGTGTGCCCTTGATACAGGCGTGTTTGTCTGCTGTGCCCAGACATCATTCCCCTGACACTATCGGGCCGAACAAAACGCCTGTATCAACGGACACTATTGATTCTCGACAGAGGGCGTTTTGTTCAGCCCTATAGGCCGTTGCTTTTCCTTTTTTTTTTCTTATTTGTTTTTGTCTTATTTTGGAAACGGTTACAGCCTCGCTCCACTGCTCTACACATGCACAAAAGACTAAAATATGGCGGTGTATCTTTCCATCTTGTAGAGGAAGATTCACTCTCATTTTGCACATTTGGAGAGTGGTGGAGGGAGGGCCATACAACGGTAGCCTGGGGCCTCGCTCCACCACTCTCCAAATGTGCAAAATGAGAGTGAATCTTCTCCTAGAACATGGAAAGATACACCGCCATATTTTTTGTCTTTTGTTCATGAGTAGTGGAGCGAGGCCCTTACATCGCACCCGACTACAGCTGGACTTGCAGCCCTCATGTGACAGAGGGCCTCGCTGCACTACTCTCGAAATGTGCAAAACGAGAGTGAATCTTCCGCTTGAATATGGAAAGATACACCGCCGTGATTTCTGTCGGTTGTACATCTCGAGAATAGTGCAGCAAGGCCCAGAGGCCCAACGGATTCTGGTGGCAGGTTCGACTACTCTCCAATTTGTGCAAAATTAGAATGAATCTTTCACTAGAACATGGAAAGATACATCGCCACGTTGTTGGTTTTCAACTTGTCACGGACATTCTCTTTCTATTTTTTTATTTTTTTTTTGTAGCGAATGGACCGAGGAGACACAACTGTCAGTTCTGTCGTTTTCTATACGTGGAATGAGACAAAAGCAAGGGTTCCACAGATGCGTCCTCATCATGACCGTATTGGAACTCGGAAAGGGCTCAGATACCCTGAAGATAGCATGGAGTTGTGTACAGCGAACATGACGACACACAGGTTTTAGGTTTTGGGGCGGCGCGGCCCTGACAAAAAATTGCGCGGGCAATGTCCTAATTTTGGCTGGGCGTGGGAACTTCGATTCACGCCCTCCCCAGCTTTTTTTTTTTTTTGGCTGACCCCGAATTTTGCCCATGCGGCGCGCAGGGTGCGCGCGCCAGGTGCGCAATGTGTAGTGCGCCGCACGTGCGCAAGTGGCGCGCACGGGATGCGCCGCAAGTATGCTCTAAATGCAGTGACGATCTAGGCTACCAGAGTGGGCCGGGGTCACTTGCCCGGCCGGGCCAAAAAAAATTAAGATAATAAAAATAAAATAAATAGTTTTAAGTTTTATTTTTTATTCTAAATTTGGTTAAGAATTTCGATGTGACCCTGAGGCAAAAGTTGTTCAATTTWTTTTTCTGCATAACATAGTTTTTTTTKGGATTTTTTKKWTTTTTTTTTTTTTTTTTTTTTTTKGCTGGGGCCTTCCCTGGTCCTTGCACGGGCTGGCCACGGGGGACCCGGGCGGCCCGGCTGGTAGCCTAGGTGACGATTAATTCAAAGTTCAAATGGAGTGACGATGGATTCCAATAAGGTGACGGATTGATTCGGATAGCGTGACAGCTTGATTCGGGTAACGTGACAGATTGATTCTAAGGCAGTGACAGACCACTTGAGCTCCGAGGACGCGACTCAAAATTCGAAAGCAGCAGACATGGTTCATTTCCTTCCTGCATTCCCTATCTAACCTCGTGAGTCGAGGACAGCATAGTGGTATTACTGATTTCTTCATTCTATGCATGATAGCATATGCATAACAACTACCTTCTTCTTCTTCTTCTTCTTCTTCTTCTTCTTCTTCTTCTTCTTATTCATTTTCTTCTTCTTCTTCTTCTTATTCATTTTCTTGTTCTTTGCCCTCGATGACACCATATTGATATTACCGAGTGAATGACTGACTGACTGACCTCTTCTGGAAGCATCTCTTTGATCGGCTTGAGTACATCTCGATTGCCAGCCATCTTGATCGCATTGCTGATTTGCTGGATGGTTGAAGTGCCCCACGAACCAGAGAGTCCTGATGCGTCACACAGTTGACGAAGATCAACCTCAAACCCCGCACTTGCACAGTCGATCAAGTACCCAATCACCGTGTCCTCCTTAATAGGCCGAGGCCGCTCTGGAAGGTTCTGGAAAATGGGACCACCACAGGGAGCGAGATTCCGCGCATCAGCCGTGCCACAAACGCCACAGCACCGCAACACCACACAGCCGCATTATACCACAATAACAAACCAACAGAAATGCAATCAACGATTCGAAACGAAATAAAGTTAAATAAACTCTTTCTGTTCCGAAATTCATAAAGTTACGGTACCCTGGTACCACAGAGTAGACCAGTAGCTTAGTGAGGATATATATCTAGCAATATATTTATCTGTTTGATGAATGTCCTATTTGTCGTCAAGGACAGACTCATTCTTGAACCTTTTCTTATCCTCTTTTGCCTTCATCTTCACTCCACACTCCATACTTTCCCTTACTTACCCTTTATCGTTCTTTGTTTGTCTGCTCTCCATACTTACCCTTTATCGTTCTTTGTTTGTCTGCTCTCCATCTCTCCTCCCTGTGTTTATCCCCTCCCCCTTCACTCTGCCTCTTTCTCACAGCGTACAAGTG